TCTTTCAGAGTAAAATCAGATTGCATAGCCTGAAAGGTTATATTTCTCTATGATTGTCAGATTTAATTTGTGTTATCACTAATTAAAACTATTTTTTAATTTGTTTACCGTACAGAGTAATGGTCATTTCTCCCTTGAGCCAAGCTTACCATAATTCTTGGTTATTTCATGGACTTAACCATATGGTTTTCTTGATTATAGAAATGATTTGCTAAGCTCCCCCCACCCACCCAATTTTCCATACTGTCTACACTACAAATGCAGAGGAAAAATCAAATAAAAGCCAGTTTCAAATCAGAGATATATCCTAGTCAAGGTAAGTGTGGATGCAACTACTGGGATATATGTGAGTAAACATGATGATACATGCTATCACAAGCATTATATTCAGGCATGCCCCCCAATCTAAAATATAGCAATCTTTTTTCCATCTGGAAATTTTTTATCTAATTTTCTTTGTGGAAGGCAGACCTTCATCTGGGGCGAAAACTCCAGTTCTCTGAAATATGTCATTATGGTGACATGAGAAGGGAACTATGTCTAATCTATAGCCCAGAAATAAGCTCTACTTTATTCAAGCATCAATAGAATTCCAGATTAAAGTTGTTGCTTATCAGAAATATTACAAAAAATGTTTCATGCATTTGGGGATGAGGGGAAATAAAGAGGCAGTCTTCCTTCAACATCAAATCTTGATGAGCATCTCTTGGAAAACTGGATGACAGAAAGCAAATTACCTAGATATATTATGATAGATAGATAGATAGATAGATAGATAGATAGATAGATAGATAGTAGTCTCTAACTATTTTTTTACCTTTCCCATAAATGTGTAACATCACAGTACCATTGGATGAATATGAATTAAAAAATTATTTTCCTTAACATTGAGAATTCCAATAATAAAGCAGAAAAATAACATTATGTCTTTGGGTACAGAATAGAAAAAAGCCATATGTTGATAATCTGATTGGCCTGATCATTTCTTTGTGATGATTAAAAAATCTGCCTACTTCTACCTCAAATAATGAAATGGGCCAAACTAATTTGTGGCACAACCCAGTCAGTCTCAGAATTATTTACATCATGTTCTAGGAAACTAGGAAAGATTTAATGAGGTGTTTAATTGAAAACCATTGGAATTGAATAATGGAACCCTGTATGTATTTATATCCCACCTTTATTATTTTTATCAATAACTCAAGGCAGTGAACATATCCAACATATCTTCCTCCTCCTATTTTCCGAACAACAACCCTTTGAGGTGGATTGGGCTTAGAGATAGTGACTGGCCCAAGGTCTTCCAGTTGGCTTTCATGGTTAAAGTGGGACTAAAATGCATGATCTCTGGTTTTCTAGCTTGATGTCTTTACCACTAGACTAGGCCAAACTAGCTCTAAACTCATTAACTTCAGACTATGCTAAATTGGGGGGGGGGAATCATTATGATTAGCATTTAATTGTCTAAAATTTATTTAGCACCATCTTATTAAAAGTATCTTTATCTGCATGGAAATATTTCGTGCTCTCAGCAATACAGCATTCGTTCAGTCGTCATTAAAGCTTTCTTGCTGGGAAAAGTAGACGGTTTGCTTTTGTCCTTATTTTTCAGTACGATTATAAACGAATGAACGATTCCAGTCAGACTTCACACATGCAGCTATCGAACTGCTCTTCTTGAATAGATTCTGGGAACGATCGACCTGGAAATCCTCCTGCACAATCCCCCACCCCAGAAATAAATCGGAGCGGATTTATGACGTAATTCGGAGAAAGTTAGGAGCCGCGAGGCGTCACTTTTTATCCAGTCTGGGGCCTTGCCGCCCTATTTTCTAAATTATTTGCTTTCCTCTTCTCGGAAAGGGCAGTATTAATACCTTCTCTCGAGAGGAGTATTTGGTTCCTAAAACTGAGTCGCTCCGAAGCAGAAATGAAAAAACTGAAATAAAATTGAAGGTACTAAGCCCGTCGTTAAATATAATTAAAATATCTGTGCCCTGAAATTTAAGCAACTCAAGCCTGAAGCCCAGTGAAATGAACGCATTCAGAAATATCTCCCGAATTTTCCTTACACTTTTACTCTTTATAAACTTTTTTTTTTTTTTTGCATTAAACAGTGCAAACCAATCCAATTGCCCCTGGAAGGGCCACTTTGCGAAGGTGAGAGTTAAGTGACTTGGGAAAGATGAGACTATTCAGAAGCACCTGGGTGACTTTCACTTTCTTTCGCTCTGAAATAAGGCTAGGGCTGCGGGGCGAGGAAAGATTGCTTCCCTCCGGAGCAAGCCGCCGCTGCCTTACTTAACCTCCTCCTAGAGAAGGAGGCTCCAACTTACAGCCCCCTTTCCCCCCATCGCATTCCTAGCTGCCCGCTTCAAAGCAAGGCTAGCCCCAGGCGCAAGCTTTCCTCCCCCGCCGCTAGGGACGACACGCCCTGCGGCAGCCCCTCCCCGCTGGATGCGGCCCAGCCTGCCTCGGCGGGAAGAGGCGCCCCAGCGCTCCCTTGGCCGTTCGCCTGGCCTCAAAGCGGCTCCACTGCCAGAGGTGCCGGTGCCAGCTCCAATTAACAGCGAACAATTAAAAACAGCTCGGCTTCCTTCTGCCCTGCCTCCTCCCCCGCCTGAGAGCACTCTGTCCCGCAGCACAGAGGGGGTTCTTCAGACAAAGCCTTCGACTGGTTACGGGATTAACCCATTTTCTGGGTTGGTGCAGGACCTCCGGCTTTAAAAGGGGGCAAAGAGCGGGTTTGCGCAACCCCCGAAAATCCAGCCCCTTCGAGCCTCGCGTGTTGCAGCTGGGAAGGCAGCCGCCAGGCCTTCGACCGACTCCAGTTAGCTTCTTTTATCCAGAGGGTCGAACGCTGGTTCTAAGGCGCATCTCGGACCTGCTACCACTACAGCGATGCGCCAGAGGGAGGAGAAAGTAGTCCAAAGCCTCGGATCTTCCCGTTTTCCAAAAGGAACCTCGCCTCAGGCTATTTCCTGCACGAGGGTCCGATCCCAAACAACCAGTTTTGTCTTTCTCGCCCCGGGCTCCCTTCCCGCCTTTTCAGGAGTTCAAATTCGTGCGGAGCATAGACCCAACCACTGCATCCTTTTGGAGCAGGCCGAGTTGCACATGGGTTAAGAGAACCGAACAGAGCCCTCTTCGGACAAAAGCTTTCGAAGGGAAGGTCCCGCAGAGTCCCTTCGGTTCTCTGCAATCTTCGGGACCTCTCGGAACCAGGGACGTCGCTTCTCAAAAAGGTGTTTTCTCAACAGTAGCGGGGAAAGAGCCCGCTCACATTTTCTTGAGCATAAGCGCCAAGAAATTCATTGGGGCTAACTGCAGAGTACCTAAGGACCAGGTGGTGCTGTTGGTTTCTGACTTGAACGAATAGGTTTCAACTCTGCTTAAATACATGGTGGGACCACGATTCTCACCACCACCACGAACATTTCAGCTATTTTGTAGAGTGCCATGCTAGCAAGCTATATCGAGTGATCATTCTGAAGATGTACAATAAATGGAAAAAGGTTTTATCCCACCACAGTGATGGCATTGTACTACTAAGCTTTTCAGATTGTACTTAAGGTAATAAATCTTTCCGATTGTTTTAGTAATTATGATAAATTGTATAATTCCAAAACTTCAAGTATGCTTTTTCTTATAGGGAAAATCAATAGCAGAAACTTAAACTCCCCCAGAAAACTTTTCTAAAATATATTTCTTCTCAGAAACAGATATGCTGACTTAGTTGAACAGTACTTTCTGGCAAATAGACAAATGTAGTTTTATTTTCCTATAAGAAAGGAAGCTCTATTGAAATAGTTGGATTCAAAGTAGCCATAGTTAGATTTGCATTTCAAGCAAATTTTAAGCAAAAAAATTATAAGAAGTCTCCAACACCATGCTATCACAAACACTAAAGTCTAAAGAAACACCTTATTTTTCAGCAACTTTTCATTGGTAGAGAAGGCAAATCAGACTGTCCTCCCTTGCAAAGTTGTTTTAACTTTACAGACATACTTTAACTTGTTTTAACTTTTCACTTTGCAGTCATAAATTTCATATATTCATATACTTCATATATTTAAATATAAAACATCAAACATCAAAGTAAAACATCAAAAGCATATTTTATGCCTTCATTTTACTTGCCTGGAAATGTATTTATTGTAAAATAGACTAAACTTGATGTGCAAGATAGGAAGGAGGGAAGGATAGGAAGAAGTTGCTAAGGAAAGCAAGGAAAAGAAATATATTTGCATTTCCAAATTTCCTAAAGAACTTTTTCAAATATAAAACAGACAAGCAGTGGGTACAGGCAATATTTATCTGAAATGTAGTTTGAATTCAGTGGCAGGTTACAATCCTAAACATACTGGATGGATTCATACAATCCCGTAAATTGCAAAAACTGGACTGGCAAAACAAACAAACCACATTTTGACCTAATAACCAGTGTGAGATTGTAACCAGTGTGAGCCCTGTACTCATTTTATATTTCCATGTGCTCCTCAATGAAGGAAATTACATTGAGAAAATCAGGGTTAAATTAACCACAGATTTCTCTCTCTTTCTCTCTCTGTCCCTGCTTTATCTGTCTCTCTCTCTCTCTGTGTGTGTGTATATAACCCTATGTTTCCCTTAACCTCATGAGAACTTTCTTCTGTGCAATGTATGCTCCTATTCTTCAAAAAGCATATTTCGTTTCTGGCTTGAAGGCCAATTTTACAGGTAATATGTACTTTTTCTTCCTTTAATTCAATAGCCTCTCGACAACAGTAATTTCTGCTAAGATATTTGTTAAATGTTGAAATTAAAAGATTATTTGGGGAAGAGCTGAGAAACTCTGAAATGATCCTGCTCTGCGGTTCACAAACTCAGTTGCAAGGAAAAAAAACTGGTGTCCAGCATCCTTCAGGAAATAAGCAAGCATGACTCCCAGTATATGTTTAAGATCCCTAGTGAACAGCCCTTGAGAGGTTGTCTCAAAGAGGATTTATCCTACAACCCACCTGAACTGTAGCTGACCAGATCAACACCCAGAGCTGGGCTCTTCCTTTTCCTAGGCCGGCCTTTCTGGACTGTACCGGTGCCATTGAAGTAAGGCAGGACCAAGCCGCCACCCTTGGCTGCCAGCTCGGTGTAGCTGAGTGACGCCGGTGGGTAGGAGGCTGGGTCGGTGCCCTGGAGCAGGCTCTCAAAATGTGCCCGGCAATAGACCACGTTGTCCTTCATGCCAAAATGGTCGCCTGTCGTCAACGTCTTGTTGCACGTGGTGCAGGTGAAGCAGCTGAGGTGGTAGACCGAGTCCCGGGCCCGCATCACCATCTCCGAAGCAGAGATGCCCAGGTGGCAGCGGGCACAGCGCTGCACGGAGAACCTTCTGGGGAAAGAGCACATGAGTTAGTGGAGACCCGCCAAGAGTAGTGGGGCACCAGCACTTCAGCCCCTCAGGGCTGATTGACTGGGGGTAAAGGAATTGTTTAAAAGGCAGATGGACATCCAGTTTGGTGGCAAGGCAAGAAACCAGGAGACCCTGAACCCACTTTAGGCTCAAAGCCAGCTGGGTAATCTTGACCAGTCTCTCTTACCTTAAGAGGTAAGTCTCTCTGGCCTTAAGAAGCAGGCAATGGCAAAAGAGTTCCCAAAAATCTTGCCAAGAAAGCTGCAAGGAGTTATCCAGGCAGCTGGAAGAGTCAAAATTGACTCAAAAGGACAAAAAAATTATAAGAGGATGAGAACAAGGTGATCCTTGGATTTAAGTGCTGTAGCTGTTTCTTAAATTTTACATTCTTTTCTTTTATATCGACAATCTGGGACACAAAAAAGACTAGGAGAACTTTTACATGTGGGAGCAGAAGAAACACACCATTGTATGAGGGGAAATTACACTGGGCTCAACTACACTTTTTTTGTGAATTGATCCCATTGAATTTTATGAAACTTACTTTTGAAATATGCTTGGGATAAACCCTACAAATCTCAGTAATTTCCCCTGGGGGAAGTTCTATTTTCTTGAGATATCACATAGCCTCAATTTACCAGTCGGCCAAGCATATTGTGTTCACCCATCCCGGGTGGTTAATTGATGGTTCAGTTTGTCCTGTAAATACAGCCTGTTTGTACTCCACTAACCCAGAAAATTGGGTTAATGGAGTACTCCATAGTGGGTCTTGCACAATTATTCCCACTTACCTGTTGAACTCAGTGGGGCTACATTTGAATTTACAAGGATTAGGATAGTACTATTACAAATAAGGATAATTCCCTACTATATTTTCATGTTGTAAGTAGGTGCCTTTTCCATCCATCAAAAAAAATAATGTAGGATGGCAACCTCCACCTCTACACAAACTGTTTATGTAGTGAAGTTTGTATAATGTATTTCATGAAGCAATGGCATTTTATTAAGGAAATCAATGGATTAATTGCACATTTTTAAAGGCTAAACCATTTCAGAAATTGAAAACAAATTAGCATTTTACTGTGGTGGGATGGAGTTATGATCTTGTATTTTTAGGCTATCCCCACCAGACATAGTTTTCTCTGTCCACCAAAATTTCCTCTATCCACCCCGCACAAAAAATGTCCTGCCCTGTGCTGATGAGGAAAATTATCTTTTGGTCATCTTTGCCTGGAAAAAATAGCATAACTAATAATTGAACCCACTGGGCTATTAAATCAGTCTACTTAAGTTTGCAGTGATGCTGGGTTGTTTTATAACGGAAGGCAGTACTCAGAAATGTCAGCTGGGTTCCCCAAAGTAGTATCCCAGGATAAAAATGACAGAGATTCAAATATATGCGGAAGCTCAGCCTCACTTTCTTCTCTCCACTCCCAAACTGACCACCCAAAATATCCCTATTAGCTGCAGTTTCAGGTCTGCAGAATATGCTCTCTGTGTGCGCTTGGGGATGCTCTTTCTGGCCCAATATAACTAAGCTCCTTCGGGATTTCTCACGTGGAGAGAGCATTCACCCGGCAAGCCCAGAAGCCAGAGAGAGGCAAAGCTCCTTTCCTGCAGCATAAAATCAAAGAACAGCAAAGAAAGAGGGCCTCTCTACCCACTGGCTTAGTGTGGGTCCCCTCCAGGCTAAAGGGGGCCGCATAGAGAGTTTTCTTCTTCCCTGAGTGTGGGATTTATTACCACAACAAGGGAGTTTGGCCTGGGGGTATGAAATATGGATCCTAAGCAGGCTCTACTACTCTGGTGCCCAGATAAACATTGGGAATCTTCTATCCATTCGCAGAGGAGCCCCATTCAAGTGAATGGGTAATCTTTGAAAAAAGATCTCTCTCTCTCTCTCTCTCTCTCTCTCTCTCTCTCTCTCTCTCTCT